ATAGCACACTGACTATAGCAAACTAAAAATAGATGCTCTTCTTTTGGCGCGTCGCGTTGGTTATATTTATAGGCATGTGGAGGTTTCTAGAAATTTCAGTTTTACGTTACAATACTGACGCTAACACAAGCGTTTACGTACACACATATGTTGTTGATTCTTGCTCTCGAGAATCTTCTACAACTTTGGAGAATAGGCGGGAGTTTTGCAATACATATTTAATTGTATAAGCTATGTATGTTTCTAAATATAAATTTAATCTAAACAAACGTCGATATTAAAATAAATATATAATAACAAATTCGTTACAAAAATATATAGTGGTTCTAACACTAATTAGTGGGAAGAACTTCAATACTGGTGCTATATATTTTGTATGTGTGTCTGTGTATATTATCCATATATTACTGGAGACGCGGTAACCAACAAAGGCATGGACCCACAAGCAATTTGGTGCGTAAATTATGAACCACGATAGTGGTTCATAACAGGGATCGCACAGGAATTTGCTCAAAACTATAATAAAACATTCGAGCAAAAACCATCTTAAAAAGCAGACTTATTCTTGTAACAACACTCAAAACCTTCCTGTTCAATAGTTAAGACCACCCAAACATTGATAATAAGTAAAATAAGTTATTTCACGATTGTTAGACAAAATCAAAATTTGCCCATTTCTTCATATTATTATTAATATTATTGTTCCACAAGTCTACAGCAAAATAGTCTGGATATTTTGTTCCAGGACATAAATAGATACAGTGTATAAAACGGCTGTGAATGTCCATGACCTATTTAAAAGTTGATTTGCGTGGTTATAAACACATATTAAATACAATCTTGTTATGAGCGGCTGCTTTTGTATTCGATGCGTGTTAAAGGCGTACTTACGCGAAACCTCAGGCACAAAGCCACCTGGCTCAATAAATAATTACTTTAAAAGACACGAACTTTATTTAAAGTGATGTTTTAGGCGTATTTGAATTATTTGAAAAGGCCGCTTTTCTACTGATACGTGCTTAGTGGGAGTTGTGTCTCATACAGACATATACTTACCCATTGATGTGCATTCACCAAGTCAGCATACAAGGTAATTAAAAATTAAGAATTTAAAATCTACAAATAGGGATCGCAGAAAAATAAGCAAATAAGGCTGGTGATCTACTGCTGAAAGTTTATTAAGCTACAAATCCATATTATGACTCCACTAAAAATTATTGCAAGTGATATCTATAATAGTGTGGGATTGCACAAGAATTTTACAAAACATTGAAAGAGTATTTTTAAACTTAATTTGCTAAATCTTTCGCTTTCCGCCATAAAAAAAAAATCCGGTGTTTTCCTATCGTGCGCGTTAGTTGGAAACTACAACTCGTATATTTTCTAACGCATTAATTCGAAACTGCCACTTGAAAGGTTCCCGATTTTCCTGTTGCATGTCGTTACTCGAGTCGCTATTGTACGTCATTACTCGACTTTGCTGTCTCTACATAAATTTCCCCGACTATAATTCAGCGAGTTTCTAACTATAGATTTCTCTACTCAGAAGACGATAGTGATTCTTTCTGCTGTTTCTTATACTCTGCTGAAATCATGAGAGCATATTCAGTATTTATCACCACTGCATACAGCACTATTTCATATAGCTATTGCTATTTTTAAGTAGTTGGTGTTAAGGTAACGGTTGTAAATGTTGTCGATAATTGTCCACTCATGCTAAGTGTGTCACTGTTGTCTATTTTGCATGCATTATCTGTGTCGCCTTATTCTAGCAAACACTTGTACACAGCAGGTTATTGAAGAACATACATATGTGTTATGTAGATCTAGCAAGGTACGCATGTTATCGAGTCTGTTTACATTGCATTAATCTGTGTTGTATTATTTTAGAAGAAACATTCCGTTCTGATGAGATTGCTTTGTTGCTGCTCGTCTTTTGTTACATTACACTGTGACATTGATGGAAGCTGGTCATTAAATCTGTGATGATACAATCTTTGCTTTCAGGGGGGTCCTTTGGGAACAACTTTACAATTTGTTTGTTGTAGTTGCATACTATTATATGTGTTTATTCATTTCTGTACAATTGTTATTTATTTTGAATAACTTCAGTGTGGTGGTTGAGTGGAAAAAAAGCCAATGCAGTAGTAGACTGTTGAAAAATATGCAACATTCAAATGAACGCATATGCACGTATGTAGCTTAAAATTTATTCTCCATAAATGAACATAAAAACTTAAGATTCAAG